ATACTTCCTGCGGACACTTTTTTGGCTGAGTGGCCCATCTTGTTATTTACTACCTTTGATTTTATAGTGCAATGCACACGTTTATGCTTGCATTAAGAAACTATTCCTACCCTTTCGTTTGTTTCGTATGCGAAGTTTAAAATCAAGGTCAAAGTCATCTCTATTCTAACCACAAAATGTCATATAAGTGCAGTTTCTTAATTTTTAAACTTTTGAATTGTACGTTTTCTGATTGCTTTGCTTGTGTTTACGTTATTGTTTTGTTTGGGGGTTGTATCTCGGAGGGAGACATATGGATAGTACATCGTTACCTTAGAATCACAAAGTTCTGTCTATCATTTTTGGCCGTTTTTAGTTACTTAGATCACGAGGACAGAAACCAAATTATATTCTATCTGCTCTACCAAAATCGTAAGATTATTCGGAGTCATTGTCAAGATATTCAAAAAATTGCATTCGAAAAAGCTTGACATGATGTGAAACTCAAGGTCTTTGACGTCAAGTTTCTCAAAACTCAGTACAGAGCAGATAGAACGTTGTTATTCTGAGGTAGCGATATGTCATTAATGTGGCTACAAATATAGGGAAAACCCCATTATTTTTTCCAATCCTCTGTTTGACTCCGACGGCCTTGGAAATTTTGTTTTTAAAGACGACTCTTGAATGAATCCTTTTGTCCACTTGACTGAGCATTTGAATTTTCTGAGTCTGGATCTATTTCGCCAGCTGATATTAGTATGGTCTAAAAAGATAATTACACCCGTTTTGATGGCAGATCGTGATTTATCCGACTTGTGAAATTGCCAACTGTATTCACTCGTCGTTACTCATGATTACAGCTTGGCAATTTCTATCGTAGGATAAATCATTATCTCCCACCATAACTCATGCCATAAATTCTTTATACTGAATGACTGCTTTTATTTCGATGTGCCTCCTTCACTCTTCTTTGTGTTGGTTGTTGGTGGGTGCTGTGATGTGGTTTGCTCCATCTTGTCTGTCAAACATCTATCATCCTACTTTTATTTGTATGTTACTGTCTTGTAACGTCTTTTATCTTCGGGACTTTGGAACTTATGTGACCTACTTGTGTTGCAAGTGCCGTAAAATGCTCATTAAAACTAAAATCAACACTGCCAAACCTTGCTTTAATGTGGTTTACTCCTTATCTATAAAATAATACTTTCCTTATCTCTCCTTCTTTGCTTTGAATGTTACCCTCTAGCATCACTTGTAATATTCGACACTAATTACCCATTTGTGTTGCGAGTGACACAAAATTTGTGAGGCATCGAGGTGAATCAGGCGCTCTTCAAAATAATGTAACTGATGGAAACAACATTTTCCCGATGATTTGGCATTTTTCCCCTATTTTTTGTTTGTTTGTTTGTTTGTTTTGTTTTGCTCAACGCCTCCTTTAATCGCTAACATCTCCACTTTATTCAAGACATATGGGTTGTTGTTTTTTTGTCGCCAAATGCAAGACAAATGGACAAACTTTAAGATGATACTAGATCTACTAACTCGATATGCCCCAAAATTGACGAGCTCTTGATTCCACCGCGTCATAACACATTTACTTATTATTATATTTTCCACTTTTTCTTCGGTGCAGAAATTCGTGGTGGACAATGAGGCTCTGCGCCATAAGTGTTCCCACTGTCTCCAGGCCTGTCTGCCGTCACGTGACCTCACCTACCATGCCATCGAGTCGGAGATAAACAATGACCCCAACTGGCCGCCTGTCTCTGATACCAAGGTGAGTGGTTTTGTTGGAAGGTAGACTAGAAAGGAATACCGTCAGGGGTGGAATTGAATTGAGTACTCCAAAAAGTCTTCTGAAAACCTGATGCTGCTGTCTCAGTTGAGAACCTCTCTTGAGGGAGGGGT